AATTATGCACCAAAACCGGTCAAACCGGTCATTTTTCCTTCCCCACGCGCAGTGGCGGCGCGTGGGGGCACGTGAACAGTGCCCTGATATCATAAAATTCCCGAAAAAATTCCTAAAAATTATTTTAATCAATTTCGAGATACTTACAAAGCTCGGTTCAATTTTTTGAATGGTAGAGAGCTCGATTTCAACGAATCGGAAACTTTGACCGTTTCACCTCCACACGCGCCGCCGCCACCGGAGAAAAGAGAGGACACCGGTGGACTCGGAACGGCTCAAGGAACACGATGGTGCGGGAGGTGTCATAAACGGATGACCCGATCGTTGTGAATCGATGAAAAACCAACTAAAATCGAGTTATTACCGACGATACTTCCGACTGAAATTCACAACGAACGACGATGATTCACGACGAAAGGTTTGAGGGGTTTTGTTCCTCGGTTGACAACGAACACGATGGTGGTTTCGGCTTGTCGATCGGAGGTCGGACGGCGAGTAGATCGGAGTTGGAAGGAGGGTTGATGGGAGAGGGAAAACTGGAAAAATTTCCAGAAACATACGGGAGATTGCGGGTATATATCATCTCATAATTAAAAATGGCTAAACCAAGAGTTTAGCCACTGAACTTCCTGCACTTCATAAAACGGTCTGCCAACTTTAAAATTTTACAATTTAACCCACTGTTTCTTTCAAAATACCAATTAAATCAACCACTTTATAATTTCTTAATTTTTAGCCCCTAAATTGGGGTGTTACAGTAGAGGGTCTATGTGGTCCATCGGGATAATTATGTGGTCCTCTAGGACAAATATTTGGCACTTCGGTGCAACCCTATGTGGCACTTCGGTGCAAACTATGTGGTCCTTCGGGACAATTATGCGGCACTTCGTGCAAATTACGAGTTGTGATGACAACATTAGTGCACAACCTCATAGTACTCAAATACCTAGATTTCTTAGTAGTATACCTTGGGAAATTGGAACAAAGAAATACAATGTATAATTATCCATAAGTATACCTTTGATATGGAAATTAATAAGTTTTTGAAAAACGATTGAATAAAACAAATAAGATTTCTATTCATAAGTTAGCACTATTAGAATTGCCTCACTAAGTCATCGACTTAGCGTGTGTTTTCTCACGCGTAGGTTTGAAGTAAGCTGACGAGTGATTTGGGGGTTGAGGATAGTATATACTTCTGAAGATGAGATCTGTACAAATTGAATATAGGTTTTGTTATTTTGTAAACTGTGGCATGTAATATTCGTTCAATTTGAAATGCTCTGGTCGCTTTTGTAAACTTTTATAACTTTGTATTTTGTAAACTCTTACTTTTGGGTTTCTATGTAAATTATTAAGATTTTATGTGAAATAATTTTATAGTTTAAATGGTAGTGTTTTCTTTATCTTGATTAGAACAATAATTTTTTTTTAATTATATCTATTTGTGAATTTCTTATGTTTTGAAAAGTCAAATGTGACACCTCAGATTCGTACCTGGGTCGGGTACGGGTCAGGGGTGTTACATTTTTACATTTTCTTTGTATGGTCCTTATATGATCTTGAGTGATTATTTATACAATGTTTATATGAGAATATCTCAATTATATCTTAAGTGGTTACTTATGTAATGATTATATGAGTGATTACTTATGTTAGTTATGTAATTTATTTTAAAAACAACGCTTAAAAAAATAATATTACATTTCTGCATTGACGAACTCAACAATTTTTCTTGAGCGGGCCATTTTAAAAAAACTTATATATGTTAATTAATTTTGTTTTGCACTTTTATCAATATAAATTTTATGTCAAAATATCATATTAACAAAAGAATATTTTATAAATACCTAAAATTCATCTATTTACATAAAAAATTAAAGAAATAAAATACATCAATAATAATATTATCTAGAATTGTATCTTAATATTTATTTTTAGAGATGGAAATCATATATTTGAAATAAAAATAGATTTTCATTCATTTAAAAATAAAACAATAATACAAAAAATAGATATTAACTATTTTTTAATAAATGATATTTAAAGGGTTTTCAAATTCCAAAATATACACCCTAAATCAAATTTAATAACTTATTATATACGTTCTTTCAGGGAATAAATTTAATAATTTAATATTTATATAGGGTAAACTACACATTTGATATTTATGTTCCATTGTAGTATTTAATTTTTTTTAAAATTATATTTTACATTTAGTTTAAGTTTCATTTTGATACCTCACCGTTCAAAATTCAATGATGATTAGTAAATTATATTATTAGACTCCGAGAAACAAAGGTAAAGGTTGAAGCCTCGGGAAACGAAGGGTCACGTCGGAGAAGGTAAAGGTCGAAGCTTTGGATCTAGATATACTCCGATCTAGACCTCCTTTTGATTTTTCTAGGATAGATTCCGATTTACGGGGTGGAGAGGAAGCTTATGGTGAGTTCGGTTTTTTTCCGGCCATCGCTCGCGGCGGGGAGGCCACCGGACAGTGGCCGACCATTGGGGTCGGTTGAGAGGATTCATAGAGGTTGGGGGAGATGATAATTTGAGGGAAATGGTGAAAATGAGTTGGAAATGAGTTTTTTGGGTATTTATATACGAGAGACGTATGTGCAAATACAAGATTCTTAAATCCTTCCTGTCGTCCCTTTCATTTTGAAGTGTAATTCAATTCGGTCACTGTTTGTAATTTTGCCTCCGAATTTTCAATTTAATATCTGTTTATATTTTTATATTTTTTGAATTGACCCCTAACTTTTTTTTTCTCTTGCAGATCAATTTTAGTACTAATTTAATCCATCAATTTCAATTTATTTCAATTTGGTCCTTTAAATTTTTAGTTATTTTTTTTCTTCCTTTCCTTCTTAATTTAAGCATTTTTCGTTTTAGTTATTCATTTTTTTCTTTTAATTTATGTATTTTTTTATTTATTTTTTATTTTTCTTTTCTTAATTATTTTTCATTATTATTTTATCATCCTTTTAATAACTTTTTCCTTTTACTTATTTTATTTATTTATTTTTAACCTTTTATTTGGTATTTCTTTATTTATTTTTATTTTTCAAATTAACATTCTTTTTGCCTTTTTCAGTAATAATCTCAATCGATAAAAGGTAAGCAATTCGAATTGAATTTTTAAATTTTGATTTTTTACAATTAAGACAACGGACAAATTAATTGGTACCGAAAAGACAGTACAAGGATGCTAATCCTTCATTGACTGTAACCGACTCCCGAACCCTACACATTTCTGGTAAAATGCAGATCAGGTAAGATGGTGTTCGATCCATCTAAATGTTTTTAAAATGATTGATGAGGACTCTAGTACTTTTATTTCAAGTTAAAGCCTAATTCCAGGCCTACCCGAAGGAGTGCCGCGACAGCTTGGCGACTACATTGGGGACATGTACGTGAGTCAGACCAGAGTTAATTTCCGGTTGTCTTTTTAAGCAAAAATGACATGTTTAAATTTTAATTTATTTATTCGATTCATATTTTTTATCTTTGATTATTTTTTTAAATAAATAGTTGTACTGATGTTTTCTCAATGATTTCAGATTTTTGAAAAAGTTTTCATCTCAGGCTCTATACCCGAGCTCCGAACCCTTTTAAGTGGGGGTGAAAGTGACGCCTTCGTGAGAATTTATTCTCCGCATATGCCTAGCAAGTAGCCTTCGGGACTCATATACCTTATGTCTTCATGAGAATTTATTCTCTGTGCGGGCATAAGGGAATGTATCCTCTCGAGTTTAACTTAGTCCACATGAGCTTGTAATGGGCTTAGGGCAAGGGTCTAGCAAGCCCAAGGGAGCACCAGGAAGGACAACTCGAGAACCTTCTTTAGAACCTAAACCGGGAGACTACAGGGAATTAGGGCTTACCCCAAAACTTCACTTCAAAACCTAGACTGTCTTGAGTTATTTCCTGCCTTACTTTCTATTCAAAGTATTCGAACTAGAAATATATGTGGTTAGGTCTTGTTCAAAATTAACATGCGGGATATAAATCATGGCCGAGTAGGAATAATAAGCATGTGGGGTAGGACTTTCATTATTTTTTTCCCCTTATCTCACTAACTTTTTTCCTTTCATTTTTGTTCACTTTCATTTTATTTTCATCATTTACATCATTCAAAAGAGGTGTTAATCCACAAAAACGTATTCGTTAAACATAAATAATTTGCATTAACGGACAAAGGGATTGTAATACAAGAGATGAAAAACCTAGAGGTCCGGCTATCCGCATGGCAAATATGTGTTACATTCAAGACGTGGTGCCCATAATCAAGTACATCAAAAGTCAACTTTTCAAACATGGGTTGGAAAAGGTTGCAAGGGCAAGACGAGAAAAAGTTATCGATATGAGAGTCCCTTCAAAGACAACGAGAACAAGATGGCAAAACGATAGCTGAAATTGGAGGCCATTGTTGACAAATTCAAGAAGCAAGCAAGTGAGCTTCAGATAACTCCATTCGATAGAGGTTTCAAATGGCATTTTCGTTGGGAGTAGGCTCAGTAGAGAGTGAAAGCCATAGATGTATTCATTCGAGGCTTCTTGTAGCAAGTACAAAAAGCAGCTCGTAACTTGCACAGTTTAGCCAGAGAAGCCGAATGGTTAGACAAGGTATTCAACCGGTGACAGAAGAAGACAAAAGATGAGTCAACCTATCAGAAGCTGTTCAGGGTCTAGAAGACTTAGTGGTTTTTTTTCTCTTACGAAATAACACTTTTGTCCCAATAAGAATTATTTATAATAACAAACGTGTTTTTGGATAAATGCCTCGAACATTTCATGCATCGTGCATTTAGACATATTTTATATTTTGTTATTTTTATTTCTTTACATTCGCATTAACTAACAGATGAATGTCTCATCAAAAAAGGGAACAAATACTGGATATACCACCTCAAGAATTGGACACACCCCATCCACATAACACCTGCTCAAAGAAGAAGAAGATGGAAGGCAAAATTGCTCAACTCGAAGAAAACATGATGAGGTTGCAAAGAGAGTTGGAAGAAAAGATAAGCCAGAACAATCAAAGTACTCTGGATACGATCACTAAGATCCAAGAGTCATTGGTCGATCATATTGTTGCCAAGTTATCTGGATTATATCAAAGTGTGCTTGGGGCAGGTTCGCCTGATGGGATAGCTGTGCCACCTACCTCGCAAATGGTTATTTCACCCGGAACCTTATTAGGACTTCAAGGGGAATCCTCCGCTACAAAGGAGAAAACCCCATTTGCTACAAAGATACAAACTAATATATCTAACCCTGAGAATATGGGTTATTACCATATATCGAATTTAGACGAAGAGAACAACATGGCAAAGAAGATGGAAGAGAAAATCAAACAATTATAAGACTAAATGAAAATAGTTAAAGGACACCATGACTATTATAGAGTCGATGCCACGAAACTCAGTTTAGACCAAGACTTGGTTCTTTCTCCGAAATTCAAATCCCCAGAATTCTAGAAGTTTGATGGGAATAGTTGCCCGTCAGCCTACATCACCATCTTATACCGAAAGATGTCAGGATATGTAGAAAATGACCAACTCCTGATCCATTGCTTCCAGGAGAGTCTATCGGGCTCACCAATCCGGTGGTACAATCAGCTAAGCCGATCATATATCAAGACTTGGAAAGATTTAGCCAAGTCATTTTTGGAACAATACAAACACGTCAATGACATGATACAAGATCGAGTTATGCTACAAAGCATGGAAAAGAAACATAACGAAAGTTTCAGACAATATATATAGAAATAGAGGGATTTAGTTGTGCAAGTTTATCTACCATTGGATGAGAAGGAAACTAGGAAGCTCTTCACGCAAACACTGAAGGCTCCTTACTTCGGGCACCTAGTTGCAATCACATCTGGTAATTTTTTGGACTTAGTCATGGCTAGGGAGATAGTAGAAACAACCATAAAAAAGGCAAGATTGAGGAAGGTGAGGCAAGTAAGAAACCTCATATGAAGAAGAGGGATGAAGAGATTAACAACGTCAACACCTACAACACTAGTAAAGGTGTTACAATCTCCAACCCAAAAATAATTGCAGTTGTACCATCAGGTACTTCTAGACAAGATTCAAGAGAACATAGGAAGGAAAGAGAACATTTCAACCATATTCCCATGAGCTACAAAGAGATTTACCAAAAACGTTTTGACACCCACGTAGTGTCACCATACCCGGTGGAACCCATGAAGCCCTTATACCCCAGGTGGTATGATGAGAATTCCCATTGCGAATATCATGGAAATATCCCAGGGCATACTATTGAGAACTGTTACGCATTCAAGAGAATAGTGTAGAAGATGCATAACAAGAATGTGATCAACTTTAACAACTCGAGGGTTACTTTAAAGACGGCAAACAATTAATCAAATTTGCATACTTGAAATTCTTTGAATATCAACTGAATTAAAAAACTCTGTAAATGATTAGAGTTATAGACCTTTGACAAAGTAACACGATTAAAAACTGATAAAACAAGGACTTTTGACCTTACTTCAGAAAGATACGCTCGAACACAATAATCTTCTCTTGCAAGAAATGATATAGCCTTCTCTTCTCATAAGAGAATGAACAAGAGGCTTGGTATTTAGGTATGCATAGGAGCGGACAATATGGGGCATCTTTTGCATATGACATTACTACACTTTTGTTTAAGACGTTCAATGATGATGATGATCTCCGCAGATGGAATAGTTGAGTAGGTGAATCTAGTTTAGGTCAGTTGCATGGAAATTGAACTCTAAAGATGAATTTTTGACTTTCAACAAACACCTAGGCTATAATAGGTTCTTCTTGAAAATCTTAAGAAATTGAACCCGTAAAGCTGAGATATTCAACTAAAGCAATTGGTTATAGAGGAAACTCGAAAGCCCTGGCTTTATGAATAGATTACATTCAAACCATGACATTACTCGAACACTTGGCAATTCAGTGTTTTGCTCCACTGCAATTGTCAGGTTGAAGACTTTGTGATGAGATGAACCCTTCAGTTAACCTGATAAAAGTGAATATAATATTGAGATGACCCTCTAGAGCAATTGGTTAAACGCCCCGACTTTATGGATTCAGCTAGCCAAACAGTGGAAAATTAAATCAAATTTATCTAAATAAGGAGTTTCGGCAAAGATGGACTAAGGGAGTTAAGGAACACCTGTTATAGTCAATTTCACAACAAGAACTGAAGAATTTTATTTTTTAGATCGATATTTTGGTACTACCTTTGTTAGAGAGGTCTACGAAGTTTGAACAAATGGAAGATTTTAGAGAATTGAAATAGATGGTCTAGTAATTCATTATGCTAGTTGCGTCATTTCATCTGCATCCGATTAAAATGCCAAGCCAAGTCTTCCTTCTCCGGTCTATATTTCGACGATTTAGCTTTTTCTTCAAGTTACATCAACTCTTCAAGCTACTCACTTTCAACCCAAACCTCCAAAACTCTCTCCTCTTTAAAAGCTTCTCTCCCTGAAAACCCCCATATCTATAGCTTCTCAGACATCTCTTCAGCCACCAACAACTTCCTTTACCAACCTTTCTCTTCTTCACTTTCCTCATCTTCATGGCGTTGTCACCTTCAAGATAAACAAGTTGTCGTTTTCCAAAGAAAATTGAGGCGTCCCGTTGAGTTAGATGACTTGGTTCTCAATTTATCACTTATCGTTCATTTGCAGGAGCCACCACAGTAGTTTAATCAAGCTCTTGGATGCTTCCCTATGTGGGAATCTTGTTTATCTCGTTTATGATTATGTTACAGGAGCTAACCTTGGCGATTGTTTTGAGAAACCCCAAGAACCCAAGTTTTACATCGCTTTCTTCTTGGATTTGCCGCATGCAAATCGCCATTGATGTTGCTCATGGCTTGGATTATATTCACCATTGCTCGGGTCTCGAAACCAGCTTCACTCATAACCATATAAAGATGACGAGTATTTTAGTGGCTCAAGATTCTTTAAGGGCCAAAATCTGTCATTTTGGGACTGCCGAGATATGCGGGGAAGTGATACAAAAAGGGTCAAAAGGCCTCGGTAGAACAGACAGTAAAGTTATGAAAATCGAAGGAACGAGAGGCTACGTGGCACCAGAGCTTCAATTCAGTGGTTTAGTGATGCAGAAATGCGATGTTTATGCATTTGGGGTTGTGGTTTTGGAGTTGTTGAGTGAGGACGAAACCTTGAAGTTCATGTTTGATGAAGTGAACGGAGGGTATAACAAAGTGAGCTTGATAGATAGGGCGAGGGAGGCGGTGCAGGCTTGAGGAGGTGGGTGGATAGGAGGTTGAAAGACTCGTTTTCGGTGGAAGTGGTGGAGAAGATGGTGGTGGCGGCGATCGAGTTCTTGGAGGAAGATCCGGGAAAAACGCCTGAAATGAGCAAAGTTGTGGGGAAGGTTTCAAAGTTGTATTTGGAATCAAAGACTTGGGCTGACAATATTGGTTTGCCTACTTCTATCTCTGTCTCCATGGCTCCAAGGTGAACCATACATAAATTGCTTCAAAGTTTCGGATATTTGTATGAACTAATTCCACAAGTAGTGAGAGTTTGTGTAAGTATTGTTTTTTTTTCTTTCTTTATTATACTTATAGTTTATGATTCTTTTAAGGGTAAACTATCTATCTAGTCAACATTCTATTTTTTAGATTTTGAGGGAAGGAAATCGCTGTGCCGATCGGATGGCTAACCTAGATTTAAGAAGAACTGAAGGGACGCTCTGGTTGAAGGAACCACCAAATGAGTTGTGAAATCCTCTTGACGCGGATATTCATGGGGTAGAACTCCTAAGATGGTAAACAAAACGTTATCGTTTTGTCCGATGAGCAAAAAAATAATAATTATATTTAACATTAAATTTTGGTTACGTTTTTAATATCGTCGTTATAAAAAACAATGATAATGTGTCATCAATTCATAAGGTAATATTATATCATTATTAAAAAAATAAAAAAATTATCACGTTAGTAGTTCTGTTTATTTTTAACAACATAATTCAAAAAAAAAATAAAGTATAATGTTAGATATGATTTAAAAAATAATAGAGTAACTAAAATAAATTTGTAACAATAAGTGAATTAAATACATAATATACCATTCTTTTAAAGTTTCATGTAGATGTAGATATTTATACACGTCAAATAATATAATATACAGATCGAAATTTTCAAAAAAAAAATAATATACATACGATTAGAGGTATACGCACACATAAATATAAGTTTTTTTTTTGTCTCAGTTCATATTTTGCTTGGTAAAACTTGAATTTAGTATTCATTTACTATTAAAATAGAAATCATTTTTAGTTATAGGCTTAATGCTAAAATAAGTGTCTAAACTATACTTCAATTCTCGAATAGATGTCTAAACTATTTTTTGACCCATTTAGGTGCTTAACGTTACAAGCTTTATCCATTTAGGTACCCGGATCGTCAACGGTGTTAATTTCCCCTGTTAAGCAACACATGTCGCAATCTGATGATTTTAAAATTTATTTTTTTTAAATATTATTATATTTATAAAAAACTAATTTCTCTTAAATTATAAAAATGTCCCAGAATACCGAAAATCCCCAAATCATATCCTTAACCCGTCGTCGCCCCTCTCCGTCCACGACCAATGCCACCAATGTAGTCCCTACCATCCTCCTAGTCATACGCCGTCATAGTTGTCGTTGATTTGCCGTCGAGATCATGTTGGATCACGATTTTCATTCTAGGGTTTGCGGGACATAAAACATCGATTTACCGTCGATCGACCACCGATCAATCACAATTTCATGCGGGTTTTGGTCACCGGGGGGGAGATGAGATCGTATGGAGCTTCGTCGATTGTAAATGGCAATGGCTAGCCTGAGTTTAAGGGTTGAAATAAAGGTTTTCAATGTTTTTGGAGTTATTTCAAAATGTTTATGTTTTTCTTTAAATATATATATATAATTTTATATTTTTTTAATTTTAAATAATTTTTTTAAAATCACCAGATTGTGACATGTGCCACATAATGAGAAAATTAACGTCGTTGACAGCCTGAGTACCTAAATAGATAACATTTTATAATGTTAGGCACCTGGACGTGTCAAAAAATAGTTTAGGCACCTATTCAGAATTTAGGTATAGTTTGGACACTTATTTTAATATTAAGCATTAGTTATATATTCTTATAATTGTGTTAGATAAAATAATTCTTAAATAGTAATGGCAATTTTGATCTAGTCAAGGCAGTCTACGCCCATGAGTCTGACCTAGTCTTGATCAGACATATCTAGTGTGACGGATAATTACAGAGTATTTATTCAATTATTAATATCATATATTAAGTTTTTTTTTTTTTGGATTTCATGGCAAGATCACCAAGGCTTGGACACCATTTTTCAATGGTCTTGGACAACTGAAGGGGACATAGTCACTAAGCTGGATCATTTAAGGAGCAACCTGGTAAATGGGAAAAAATCAGTGTTCCGCTCCATATGAAAGCAGCTACTAGCAAGATTACGAGGGATTGACGAAGCCTTACAAAGAAAACATTCAGATTTTTTTGATAAATTTGGAATCTCAGCTGAAAGATGAACTAGAGGTAGTGTTTCTGGATGCAAAAAGCTCGGTGTAACTGGATTATATACGGAGGTCGTAATACTAAATTCTTTCATGTTTAGGCTAAGGCAAAGAGAAGGTGAAATACGATCGTGCTTATGCGACTAGAAAATGGTGATCGAAGTAGAGATCTAGAACAAACATAAGAGCAAAGCTACCAATTTTCTCTCAAAATTGTTCTCGAGTGAAATCATCAGGCTGTGCACGTATGATATACGTGGTTACTTCCCAGGGATTGATGAGCAAACAAAGAAAAAATTGGCAATGCAATTCACAAAAGAAGAGGTTAGGCGAGCGGTGTTTGAAATGCATCTAAATAAAGCAGGATGGATTTTAAGCTTAGATACCAAAAAAATTAGGATAAAATAGGCGCAGATGTGTGTCGAACAGTAAGAGAAGTATTTGATACGGGGTTGACCCGAGACGAACTAAACTAGACTATTAATTCTTTTCCCAAAATTGGAGGCTCCGGAAATATTTGCCCAGTTTCGCCCAATGAATCTGTGTACGATCTTCTACAAAATAATTACGAACTCAATTGATGACCGACAAAAGCACTTATGCCACAATGGATTTCGGAGAGTCAAACGGGCTTTGTATCAGGACGTAGCATCTTAGACAATGTAGTAATCACCTAGAAAGTGGTATACTAGATGAAACGAAAACAAGGAAAATAAAGGATGGATGATCATAAAGAGAGATCTTGAAAAGGAATATGATCAACTGGAGTGACATTTCATAAATGAAACTCTATCGGATGTAGGTTGCCTAGAAAAATTACGACGCTTAATCATGAATTGTGTCTCGACCTTGTCTATACAAATATTATGGAATGGTACCCTTGCAGACTCTTTTAAACCTACGAGTCGATACGACAAGGAGACCTAGCGTCGCCGTACAGATTTGTCCCATGTATGGATAAACTTATACATGCAATACAAGCATCGGTTGAAGTGGGAACCTGGAAACTGATTAGAAAAAGTAGGGGCGGACCTGCACTTTCACACTTTTTCTTTGCAGATGACTTAGTTATCTTCGCTGAGGCTTTGATGAACCAATTAAATGTGATTCAACAAATCCTTTCCGACTTCTACTATAGCTCGGGCCACAAGATAAGTCTGGCAAAAACAAATATATTCTTCTCGAAGAATATAGAAATGCAACATAGGAAAGAAATTAGTAGCGAGTTTCAGTTTACACAAATGACATATTTGGAGAAATATTTCGAAGGTACCGTTACTTCATCGTCGGGTAACTTATAGCACATATGACTACCTAGTAAAAAAGGTGACAGATAAACTAGAGGAGTGACAAGCGAAATTACTATCATTAGCTGAAAGAGTAGTCTTGGCTAAGTCTGTCTTCTCGACACTGCTTACTCCCTAAAGAGATATGCAAATAAATTGAACGCCTAATTAGAAAGTTCATATAGGGCCATATAGAGGATAAAAAGGGGATAAATCTCATCGGATGAGAGGACATTTGTGAACCAACTACTATGGGAGGATTAGGAGTCAAAAGATTTTAGGTAAAAAACGAGACTTCCTCATGAAACTAGCATTTTGTTGAATATCAGAAACGAACCAGTTGTGGGTCCGAGTTTTAAAGAATTTGATTCTTTTTTTTACTTTTTCTCAGGTTCCAATTTAGTATCGGATTGTTACTATCAGATAACAATCTTAATGCATATTCTCCTCTTCTACCTTTCTTAATTCGAGACAATTCAGAATTGTGGGAATCGAGATAACAAATAAATTTGTTTCGGGATTTATCTTGTCGTCTTAACGGGTTTGCTAAAATCTCAAAGTGAACAAATATGTACAACAGAAATTGTCGTGAAAGTAACTGCAGTTACTGATTTATTTCATAATATTGATTATGTCCGATAACAAAATCTAAAATAAACAAGAATTAAATTTTGTTTATTGGAATTATTTCTAATTTCAGTTCTGTTTCTTTTACAAAAAAATAGAGACATTAGACTCTATCGGTTTATCTAACTTGGATGCTAAGATGATATATCGATTCAGAATTTTCTTATGAACCATGAGAAATAGAGAAGCGAAGATCGAAGAAAGCAAGGATTTAGAAGAAGAGAGATTACAGAAAAGGAATTTTCATTCATTCATCAGATAAGTTTTTCTTCTCAAGTACATGGTTTTATTTTCAATACAATGTACTATGGAAAATCTTAAATTGACAGCTGGATAACTAACTCTATCATTTTCCTTTGTAGATAAAAGCTAAGGTATTTTTTCCTGTGGGTTGCTAGCTGGATCTACTTCTAAGTCCATGTTCTCGGTCCCATTTGGATTCCAATCCTCCTTACTGATATTCATTTCCAGGTAAGTTTCTTTTGTCTTAGTCTTAGGAATTGAAATCCTAATTTCCCGATTCCTCTTTTCACAATCCCTAATTCCTCTTTCATTTCCCCTAATTTTCTCACTTCGATTCTGAACTCCCCGTCTTGTTATTCTCTTTCGTTCGTGGCAATAACCCCTCAATGAGTAGATCATTGACCCCAAGGATCGAAAGTAGGAAATTGAGCATGAATGACTGTATAATCTTCCCAGGTATCATTTTCAAAACTCAAATTCGTCCATATGACTAGGAATTGAGTAACAACATGGTTATCCCTTTTAACAATTCTTTTGTTCTAAATCTTCTCAGGAAAT